ATAACTTTTAACAATACTCTATCAAAATTCATAAAAAATAAAAATGTGTAAAAATTGCCATAAGGACCCTTTTCTCATGGACACAATCAATATATGTACGAGGGTTGTTCGAAAAGTTTGTGGACGACGCCAGTCTTCGTTATATACCTCACCAGAAATTTTTAATAAGCACAATATAATATGTAAAAATAATTGTTTTGTTGATGTGTGAAGTTTCATTCCATTCGATTTAACTGAAATCAATTTACTTCATTTTGAAATCAACATGTTTTGTACCCGAGGAGCACACTAAACGGCAATGTAACGCCAAAACATAGCGTCAAGAATTTCTGAAAAATACTATCTCAATACATTTCACACAGTAAAATTTAATACCCACTCATTTCTTAAATACATTTATTTTCTAACAATTATTGGTCTCTTTGTATACTTTTCTTTGTTAAGCTTTTGATTTATTTTATTACTTAACTCTGCTTTCACAGTAAAAGCAACTCTGAAGAGCCTATGCCTTCCTTGACGTTTCAAAATTTTAATAAAGATTTTGTGCAGATTTTACAGTCAAACCGTTTCGTAAAAACTGTTCTCATCCGCTTTGAAGTAAAGAGTCTCTGTCACTAAAATATGCCACTACAATTCGTATACACATACATATGTGACATTCCTCCAACATTTTTAGAGTTTATTCAGGGTATGTATTGAGCAAAACACAAAATTGTATCGTAATCTGCTGCTCAGTGACGTTCTAAAACGTTATCGTTATTGTCGTTTTCAGTGAGGACTAGCTATCCTCTCAACTTAATTTTTTTTCAACGAAGCAAAATACGAAGCCATAATTTAGAATACGAATCGATATTTTTATTTTTTTTAATTTGAATGTTGTTGTTGTTGTTGTTGTTTTTTTTTTTTTTTTTTTTTTTTGACAATCTGAAATCAAAAGATTTTATCAAAATCAACTGCTTAAAAACTTACGACTTTTCAACTTTATACACAACCATTCCCCACAATGAATTAAAATCCACGCTTTTTGATATCATTGACAGCTGCTTCTTCAATAAAAATGGAACTCGTAAATTTACTTACCTGGGGCCCGTTTTACAAAAGGACTTACGACTTAAGACCAAATTCAATTCTTCAAATAACTTTTTAATTAACATTTTATCGAAAATTATTTTAAACTTTTTAAAAGGAAAGTGGTAAGAAATTTTTACACAACAAGTTTCAAAGAGAATTATTAATTTTGCAAAAATATACAGCAATCTGAAATTTTTGGTCTTAGTCGTAAGTTCTTTTGTAAAACGGGCCCCTGGTCATTGGTATTTGCAAAATTATTTTGTTAAAAAAAATTCTGATTGCACAAACAAGTACTCTGAAGTTGACAGCAAGAAGATGCTTGAGTTTCTGATTTACAATATTTATGTGGTTTTTGGAGACCAGGTCTTCCAACAATCTATTGGAATTCCCATGGGTACCAATTGCGCTCCGTTATAAGCGGACCTATTTTTATGTTCATAAGAAGCAGAATTTATACAAAATCTTATACGTGATAAGAAGAAAACACTTGCTGTCGCCTTCAACTCCACCTTCAGATATATCGACGACGTATTGTCAATTAACAATGATAAATTTCCATTCCTACATCGATACGACATATCCAGGAGAGCTTGAGATAAAAGATACCACAGAGTCTGACTCATCTGTTTCATATTTGGATATTTTACTTGAAAAGACGTTAATGGTAACCTAACAACCAAATTATATGATAACGTGACGACTTTAACTTTTCTATCGTCCACTTTCCTTACTTATGCAGCAATATACCTTCATCATCTGCACACGGAGTGTGTATATCCCAGTTGATTCGATACGCAAGAGCATACTCGTTTAAAGTCATCATTTCGTAAGTTCTATGGTCGATACAATGACCTTGTCAGCAAATACGATTTATCATTGAGTCAAATGACTTTTTTCATACCAATTTTTAGTCCGTTATTTATTTACTGAATTGAGGACGGATTTTTTGCGTTATTTCCCGATCATGACAAGGGGCACACGGCGGGTGTGACCGTTTGGTAGGGTATGCTTACTCCACCATGGCACCTGATCCCACCTCTGATGTTTCGGAGGTCTGTGTTTGCTTAGCTTTAATTTTGTATTGTTTTATAGACTTTGATATTGAATACTGTTCGTTATCTCCATACCCTTCTTTTTTGCTCCATTGTACAGAGATTACGGCTACAAAGATTATTTACTGTATTGTTTGTAACATTATATATATGTATATTTTAACATGCTCCTCGATCCGATTTTTTGCATTAAATTTTGATCAAATTCTGATATTTAAAAAAAAAAGTAAAACATTTCAATTTATTATTAAAATATTCCTACCAAAGAACTGTATGCGGTATATTTTATATTGTTGCCCCCACAAAACTCATACTTTTCTTGAAATGTGCTGAATTATAAATTGTATGAGAAATATAAGTTTAGAAAATATATTATATTTTCAAAGTAGGTTATTGACAAATTTTGTTTTTATAACCTCACAAACATGTCAGATTTTGTATTATTTTTCAGAAAGAGGTCAAAATGGACAGAATTTTAACAATCTTTATAAATATGAAATTTATAGAGCGCAGGCCTATTCAAGAACAATATAATTTTTAAAAAAAATTATTGATATAATCATTCTACACATTATATCAAAATATTGAGCTTAAGCAGACCTGCGCTCGGTGATTTTTACGCAAAATATCGACGTTATATATACTATACTCTTTTTTTGTAGAAATCATGTAAATTTTAAATTTACGTCATTTTCCTGACTTCATTTCAAGCAAATGACGTCATTGTTTATGAAAATATTCAGTGCTTTGAAGTCAGCAGATATCCCCTATTTTAGAACATAATATTATATATTTCTCCGTCAAGGTCTGATTTTGGGACAAAAATTGGTTATTGCCGAATAAAGTCCATTGGATAAAACATGACGTCATATAAAAAATAAATATAAGAGAAGTTCACGAACTTTTCGAAGAACCCTCGTATATGGTATATGCAAATATTTTAAGTTTATGTTACAGATAATATGATTTAAATATAACGTACTGATCTATAATATGCTTGTACATACCTGCAGAAACAGACCACATACATATCGTTATTTTATGTAATTTTTTCAATAAAATATAGAAACGTATAACAGTAAAACAAAAATTCATGTAAATAGGGAAATATTGAAGCAGTACATATTAATTTGAAAAAAAAATGATTCTATAGAACTCAAAAACTCCCCTATAAAAATATTATACCGCTAACATTCTATTTTAAAAGTGCACGCATATCATTTACGACTTTTGAAAGACACGGGGGAGGCTTGTTACAGGATGGGTGTGGGTGTTTTTCCAGAATAACTTGGATTTATGTCCTAGACTTGTTTTTTGTTTTGCATATAAAACTATTCTATGAATGTATCCCCTCATTATTTTTTTATAGGCTGTCAAGGTATGTTTGCATGGTACAATTTAATTAGTGCCTACACTTGGTTTGGTTGCGCCCCCCCTCCCCTCCCCTCCCCCCCCCCCGGAGATTGCTTCCCACGAGCATGATATCTCTTCAATGTTTACAGGCTTTTTCTTAACTTGATGAGAATCACCTAATTACAATGGATTGAATTTTTATTTATATTTATTTGTTTTTTTAAAATAATATTATTTGATTTATCAAGTGATCCAACAATCTGCTTCCGTTGTCACCACAGCTCAGATGTCTGACCTTTTTGTAATTTCACTCATGTTCACAACACTTTTTCTTGTTTGTATTTGATGTTGAAACAAAATTGTCTGGACTCAACTGGTGCACTTTAAAGGTGAACAAGTAGTCATATAGATGGAGACCGTCTAACATATTTTGAATCTGACACAAGCGATTATTAAGAATAAATTGATAATATTTTCCATGAACACGAACCTTTGGAAGTCTTAACAAAGAATGTTGTTTTTTCTGTTTCAATACATTGACCTCTGTCAGTATATGCAAGGCAATAAAAATGATTACAAATACTTATCGCTAGGCTTGAATTTCAAGAAATGCGTGTCGCATGTTATCGCATGAAAAATACCATCCCCCTCAAAATATTAATACAAATAAATCGGGTACTAAAACACGTGTTTTGAATATTATACTGTGCCTCTAACAAGAAAGAACTTGAAGGGATAGACAATCAAAGAATAGATTTGACTGCCGTCACGAGAAAAGGGCCCTTAAGGTCAAATTTTCACAAATTGACTTTTTGGTAAATTTTGATAGCCGGACTCTTTCTGAATGCAAATATACATAAATTTTGAAAATATCTCACTTTTTTCGTTTTTTATGAGCATTTTAGTGAGGCGCTCCAAAAATAACTTTGACATTACTCACTGAAAACGTAATAACATCGCCTGCGTTTTATTCAATTTTCAAAAAATCTTAAAATTACATGTAACTTGAATAACATTTGTTTTGAGAATTAAAAACATGAGAAAGTATCAATTTTTTTTCTTCCAAGCGACTAGTATTAACTATACCTAAGGGATTTTGTATACTATTAGTATTTTCATCCTAATTTTAGAGCAGATCTAGTAAATCGTAAAAAAGGGGGGGTCTAGACAGAATCTAGGAACGGTTTATAACATAATCAGTAGGGAAATAATATTTGTTTAAATCCAAAAAAATTACTCTTTTTATATAAAATAATCTAATTCAATTTATAAATGAAATAAAGCACTTGTAACACTAAAAGATTAAACGAAATATATATATATAGATAGAGAATCTCATGCAGTAGGACACCGCGCACAAATAGGGGAAGCCCTCGAAAAAAGCACATCGATCCCGATATTTTTTAACAATGTACATGTACAAAGCAAAATGTTCATTTTAACTCTCAAATTTCTGTGGGCGCCTCACCGCTCTCCCACTCCTAGAGAATTCCCCTTGGTCCGTTGGTTTCTTTGTGACAGGTGCTACTTTCCATCTGCACATTCCTTAGAAAACTCGTCAAAGTCGTTACAATAATTTAACTGGCGACGAACCTTGGCAATCCATCTTGGCAGTGTATCAACTTGACATGGCTTCAGACGATCATGATGGAGAGTGGAGGAACCTTTTTCCGTTATCACATTATACAAAACTGGTCGCAATTTTTTGGAAACAACTGCTGGTCCTTTCCAGAGAGGCTGAAGTTTTGGGTTCTTTTTTATCCTTTTAGCGTCATCCTTGATGTAGACGAGGTCACCAATATTATATGTTCTCTCATACAGCCTTAAATCATGCAATCTTTTTTGACTTTTGACTGCTTTCTTCAAGTTTTGACGGGCAAGATCCTCACACTTCTTCATAGATATCATCAGTTGTTCAACATAATCTGCTTCAGAATGCTTCTCAGATGGATGTAGCCCGAAGATAACTTCCTGTGGAAGGTGAACGTCATGACCAAGCATTAGGCGGTTAGGCGTAAGTCCTGTAATAGTGTGCGGCGTACTGCGATAGGCCCTAGGAAGAAGTGGGAGATGGGTGTCCCAATGATCTTGGTTTTGGCTAACAAAACACAGTATCATTTGAAACAGGGTTATATTGAATCGTTCTACCAGTCCGTTGGAGGAGAGATGATACTGAGTTGTTCTCGTCTTTGCCCATCCCATGAGTGAAGCCAGTTTTTTCATCAATTAGCTGTCAAAATTACGCCCCTGATCTGTGTGTATTTCAAAAGGTACGCCAAACCGTGCGATAAACTCCTTTACCAGTATCTTAGCAATGGACTTGGCGGTTTGGTCAGGGAGGGGGATACACTCAGTCCATTTCGTTAACTGATCTACTTATACAAGAATATACTTGTTCCCTTTTTTAGATATTGGAAAGGGACCCAAGATGTCTAATTGTACCATGTCTAATAAGGAACGTGCACAGTACTCTTGTAAAGCAGATCGGTTGGTTTTGTTTGCTTTTTTACTCAATGCACATTTCTCGCATAATCTTACGTAGGTGGTGACATAGTCTGTCATGCTATACCAGTAAAAGCTTTGCTTCAGACGTTGTATGGTACGTTTAATACCTCGATGGCCAGACAATGGGGAGCAATGTGCGATCTCCAATGTCTCTTTCATCAACACATCGGGGACAATAATCAACTTTCTATTTCCCTCTGGAAATCTCCAACAGTAAACCAAGCAGTTATCTTCAAGAAGGAGATTGTCTTTTGTCAACCAGTAATGCCTAAATGCAGGCGATTCCCTGAATAATTCTCCACGGTCTGATGGAAAACTTTTCTTCATCCACTAGAAGAGAGTACAAAGCTCAGGATCGCCTTTTTCCTTTTCTTCCAGCTCCTTGCTTGTATAAACATCCAATGAATTGGTACATCCATTTTCTTCTTCAAACGAGTCTTCTTCTAGGCAACGTACATCTAAACACTTGTTCTCACTATCGTACTCAGAACTCTGCTTGTGGACACTGTGTCCTCCAAAACAGCGGTCCTGAGTATCCTTTCCGAATTAGACTCTTGTGTGCTTTTGTGGGCCCTTTGCCTTTCAAAAGTCATGTTAGAGTCAGTTTTAATTCCATGGGGTAGAACATCATCAAAATCTGTGCTAAATGTAAACCATTCCTGTTGAACTTTCAAACAATGCTTACAACCACTGCATGGCAAATCTGACATGTGAGATCCATGATGATAGCATTCACAACTCTGTTCTGTTATGGGATATCTGGATAATGCATCAGCATTGCAATGATTTACACCTTTTCGATGCTGGAAGATGATGTCAAATTGACTCAAATGCTCAAGCCAACGTGCAGATTGCCCCTGTGGAGTTTTGAATCGGTAAAACCAGGTAAGGGAGCCATGATCAGTCGGACAATGAACTGCCTCCCAAGCGGATAATATCTAAACTTCTAGGTGAAAGTAACAATAGCAAGCAGTTCCTTCCTGGTAACACAATATTTAATTTGTGAAGGACCCAGACGTTTGCTTGCATAACTTATTACCTTCTCGTTGCCATATTGCAGTTGTGAAAGAACAGCTCTTATGCAATAGTTAGAACATCTGTGTCTAAGACAAAAGTACCATCAATCATAGGGTAAGCCAGTATGGGTGGGGATAACAGCTTGTCTTTCAGTGTGGTAAATGCTTTTTGCAGGTGACATCCCCAATCAAAAGTCTTTCCTTTCTTAGTTATCTGGTAGAGTGGTTCTGCAATCTCTGCATATTTATCAACAAACCGACGATAGTAATTTGTCAGGCCGGGAAAGGACTGGACATCGCAGCTAGGATAAGGCTGCCCGTAAAATATCACACTGTTCAAACTGTAGTAACTTCTCTGAACTACCTAGATATGACGTAATAATAGAATATGACATCAAGTCACTGCATACTTGAGCTGACTTGACGGGAAAAGTGTCATAAGTATTACATGGCATGTAGATTTATTTTGGGGATTTGTTGTTTGATTCACGTGTAAGGATTGTTTTTTATGCTGTAGTGTGCTGTTATGATGTTAAACATTTGAAATTTAAATATCCCTATTCCTTTTTGCATGTCCAATATGCACATATTCAAAAAATAGCAAAAACTTAAGTTTGAAACGCTCCCCTTACACGTCAGTTAGAATTTATGAATCGTCTTTATATTGGACTGGCACAAGTGATAAACAAGGACAAATTGAAGATTTTCTGTGTGCATCTAGAAGAGAAGTACGTCCTCTAACTGTATTTTGCTGGGGGATTGTTTGTAGTTTAACCATTTTTGTATAATTCGAGATAAAGAGTGGAAAATACCCCTTCTTATGTTGGCAAGTTGAATTTCTCGTAAAATATTTTCTAAAAGAGTAAAAGGTAAACCTGCCCCCAGCACTTACTATGAACCAGAGATCACGATGAATTGATCTAGGTAACAAACTTTGCACAATATTTTTGTTTTGCAATTGTGCCGATGCAATTTTTGTGCAACAATTAGTAATATCATAAATCTCCATCACGTGATCAACACAGTCATGTGACATTACAAAAATGCGTTAAAATAAAACCTGATTAAACTATTATCTCAAATTGACTACAATTTCAAACAAGGATTACATATTAAAATTAAAATCTAGCTCAAATTATAATGTATATTTTTAAGGCATTTTAAGCCTTCGGACAGCCTTATCATAACTGCGATCCATTCCTGGACTACGCGGGTAAGCTCCAGATTAGCCTCCACTTCATTTCTGCTGATTCAATGTCCAAGAAAAATAACACTTTCCCGGACGAGATGGCATTAGCTTCAAATTACTTTCCCTGAATCTTTATAGTACTTCTCTTGGGTGGGTTATATGCTCTTCTACTCCACAAATGGCCACAATGACATCATATAAGTATATCAGAACCATGTCCCATTGAAGCCCTTTCAGCACGAATTCCATAGCCCTTTTGAATGTACCTGGGGCTCCACACAACCCAAACGGCATGCAAGTATACTCGAAAAGCCCATGGCATGTGATGATTGCCGTCTTCCTACGATCTTCTGGATACACTTCAATTTGGTGGTACCCCTGCTGTAGATCTATAGTCGAGAAAATTGTAGCTCCTGCCAGGGTATCCAGACATTCTTCAATGTTTCGAAAGGGGAAAAAATCCTTCCGAGTTACGTCATTCAACTTTCCAATAGTCGATACACCATCTGACGCCACCATCTTTTTTTTCTTACCAACACCACAGGAGAAGCCCAGTCAGATCTAGATTGGACCACAATTCCACTGTTAAGAGCGAACAGGCTGATGAACAGGTGCTGCACTGCCAGTTGCGATCTGATGAGATATTGGAGAAAAGCATCCCACATCATTGGCATCCTTAGATTAAACATCTCAAAAATCAATCAGTAAACTTGTTATTTTACGAGACTCCGATTCTGTACGGCCCTTTATGGACTTTTCAACAAGCCCTGCTAAGTGATTTGGTACTTGGCTTAAGTATTTTTGGTCTGGTGCCTCTTTGATTATGGGGCTCTTATCAGTTTCGGTCTCGGCTTCAACTAACTTCCCCAAGTGTGTGCCTGCAGCTAGTCTGACCTCATTAGGTGTTGGGTTAAGGATGCGTACAGGGATCAGGTTTACAAGCACAGATCCTGTGTGAGCTCCATTCTTCATAGATGTAGGATATCCAGAACACGAACCAGCTGGTTGTCCGGTTTGTTCAAACAACCTGTGACTTTTGTTTCACTCATTGGGACAAGAGTGGTTGCTAAACAGACACTTACTCTTACTATATGTACTTGATCTGAAGTATTGGTATTTCTTAGGCCAAGTTCCTTTTTCACTAATAAATCCTCCTGTCTTGCTAAGACGACAGCCATCAACAGCCATCAATAAATCCATTCCAATTAGAACATCATCGCGGATGGGTGCAATGCACACTTTCCAATTGGTTGTTGACTTGCCGAAGTTAATGCGTACACTGACATTATTTACTGCTATCATCTTATTGCCAGCTTCTGCATTAAGAAGTGTGACCTTGTCAGAGCAAGAATAATCCAAATCTACTTTTTTAACAAAGTCTTGAGATAGAACTGTAATTTCTGCACCAGTATCAATCACTGCTTTTGTTTTATAACTGCTAATTTCAACTGGGACTCTGATTGATGATCGCCCTTTCTCCCTTCCAATTTTGAGCATCTTTTTTATCATCATTCATAACTGATAGGTCGGCTATTCTATTTGTCGAGTGTGATGGTGATCTGCGGCAATTTCTCTGAAAATGGTTTGTATCACCACACTTATAACAACCTCTCTGAGGAGATGGTGATCTTTGTGATGATTTGGTCATTGCTGTTTTTCTCTCTATTAACGTTTTAGTTCCATGATCTCTTCCTTCAATAGTTTCTCTCCAGCTGTAGCAGTTGACAAGGGTCTAACTTGTTCACCAGAATCCCCTTCTTCTTGTCTCGCCGTATGCGAGTCGTCATACTAGGATACTCTCCTAGAATAACGACGGTGCTGGGAATCTTCACCGCGTAAAATAGCCCTGTAATTATGCTGAACTTGTATGACAATATCCAGTGCTGCTGTAATAGTTTTAGGCATTTTATTAAGGGCCTCATATCCTATTCTGAGAATTTTATATCCTTTTAAAACGGATTCTGCTGCAACTTCCTCTTCCAGTTCAATGCTCACTGATAGGAAAGCCCTGGAGACCAAGCGTCTGACTTGTTCAGCAAATTCGTCATCTGTACTGTTTTTTGCCTGATTTCCTCCAATCGCTTTCTTGCAGTGGTTGGAGAGTCTTTTCTATTAAAGTGATCTTCCATATGCTTGAGTAATCTAGCATAATCATTTTGAACAGAAGATGGCAGGCTACATAAAAATTCTGATGCCTGGCCTCTTAAGCACTCAATGAAACGGTCCAGTTTCTCTTCTGCCGACCATCCATAGCGTTGAGCTGCTCTGTGGAAAGGAAGTAAGAATCCTTTCCATTCTCCACTGCCATCAAATGTTGGAAATCTCTGTCGAGGCAAATATTCTTGCCTTACTTGTCCTACAGAAGCTGGGTAAGGCTTGTATCAAAATTGCTAATAGTGTCCAATACTGGCTGAAATGACACACCACCTGAACCAGGTACAGTAGTAGAGGTAGTTGGCCTCAAGATATGGCCTCCCATTATGCCAGAGGTTCTTGGTGAGTATGTTTGGTCT